TTCATTGAGATGGAGAAGAAGGGGATTTTGAGAGAAGACAACTTAACTGTCCTGAAGACTATTTGTGGAAAAGTGGACAAGAGCCTGTTGAAGAAAATTGAAGAGTATGGATTAAACTCATTTGGTAAAACAAAACAAGGCCTCTTTCCCATACTTTTTATTTTTGAAGTGATATGTAAGGTGTCTTAAAGGACTAATAATGAATGCTTTACAGGTGAAGGAGAGATGCTTGTAACAGAGGGGCAAAGCAGCAGCAGGGGAGCCCCTGAAGGTAACTGAAACTTCTTCCAAAATGAACGTTTAGATCTTTGGCTTTTTTCCAGCTTTTGACCTCTACCTGCATCTTGCCTTTAAACATGCACCTATCTGAGAAGTGATCAAGTATCCTGTTGCTTACTAACTGATTGCAGCACTTTAAACTCCCTTTTAATTGTTTACTTATACATATGTTCTGTGTGTGTATTCAGACAGTGCCATATGGCTGGCATCATCTGTGGCACCTGATTCTCTCGGCAACTGTGATCAGCCTTCACAGGTAAGTCAGTTTGTGTCTTAGAAATGTCACAATTTTGTCTCAGAAGACACCATTCCTTTATGAAGTACACATGAACTATAATAAGCACAGCTGCTAAAGGCACTGTCTAGAAAAACAAAGATGTACTACTCTTTAATGTTGTTTATTTTGAAACTACGTACCAGGCAGAAGCAGCAGAAGCATTAAGCTTAAGAAATGTTTTTAAGAGTAGAAGATACCCCTAATTTTAATACCAGGAGACAGGCAGCAGGTAGATAAATAGGCACAGAGAAGTGGATGAATGTAACACCCCTTGTGGGCGGAGTGTAATGGTGGAGGCTGCAAGAGATGGGTTCTGTCTTGCTGTGAGGCAGCACATGGCCAAGTCCTGGTAGCAGAGCTGTATGGGAAGAGCTGCCCAGATGGAAAGCTAGCTGGCTTTTTACCCTCTGTGCCAATACAAGGGCTGAGAAGCAGTCACAAGAAATCTTTCTTTCTAACAGCTTGAAGTTTATAAAATGACCAGCCGACCCCGTGGAGTTTGCCTGATCCTGAATAATCACAATTTTGCAAAAGCCAGGGAAGCAGTGCCAGAACTCAGAAAGATGAAAAATCGGAATGGGACAGACGTGGATGCAGGTACAGTGAACATTACAAATGAGTTTACATATGTTCAGGGAAAGTGGACCGTACATAAAAACAGGAACCATTTTGTGTTCTGGACTAGGAGGCTAAAGTTCAATCTTCCACGTCAAGGCTATGTTTCTTGTAGTGGTAGACTTACATACTACTAAAATACACAGAATCAAAAGCAGATTTGCTGGAGAACCAGAATTTTACTTCACTTCTAACTTAAGAATGGATGGGGATATGTAATTCAGGCACTATTATATTGCTATTCAAGGGAATCATTTCAGTAGGCTGTCCTGCAGAGCAGCAGCGCTGCTCGTTGGAGGTCCTAGGGTCTATGAAATGGGTATATTTGCACTACATTGACCAGGAGAGAAAAATCCATTAGCAGAGTGCAGGTTATATTCTTGAGATGCAGATACTACCCAAATATATTGACAGAAATATTTTATATATATTTTATCAAAGGATGTATTATCAAAGGAAAACTTAGAGGTAAATGTATGTCAGTATTTTTATTTTGTAATATTTTAATCAATATGCTAACTTTGTTTTTATTGAATGCATGATCAAGTTGTCCTAGGGGAGGCTTAGATAGATATTAGGAAGAATTTCATAAGGGTGAGGATGGTCAAACACCAGAATGGGCTATCTGGGAGGTGGTAGAGTATCTACCCCTGGAGGTATTTAAGAGCTGTGTGGGTATGGCCCTAAGGTGCAGGATTTAGTGATGTGATGTGGTAGGTCTGGTTGATAATTGGATTCTATGATCTTGAAGGTCTTTTCCAACCTAGATGATTCTAAGAGAAATCACTCCCATCGATGTAGAATTAGACAAATAGCTGATGTCCTTCACTCTTGGGGAAAGGAGTCGCACTGTTTGACATGTGTTGCAAGACACAGAGACTAGCTGTAAAGTTGTGTGAGAACTAGCAGCTAGGTTGTAGATAATACTAAACAGCAAGATCACAAGGAATTCTTTTATTGAGAGAGAAGGGAATGTAAAACAAATACGATTAGTGATCAGACTACTACATTATTTTCAGATAAAAATTGTAAATACCTGGATTACAGGATGGCAGGATTTAAAAAAAAAAAAAAAAAAAAAAAAAGTTTACTTGTAATTTTAGAAAACTGCTTTAATTACTCCTTGGTTTACTTTCCAGATGCTCTGAGAAAAGTCTTTAGCAACCTTCATTTCACAGTAGCAGAATACAAAGACTGCACTGCAGAGGAAATCCGTAAGATAGTGAACAACTATCGGTGCATGGATCACAACAACAAAGACTGTTTTGTTTGCTGTATTCTCTCTCATGGAAAAAAAGGGATCATATACGGTGTTGATGGGCAGGAAGTACCTATCCAGGAACTGACCACTTCTTTCACTGGGCAAAATTGCCAATCACTTGCTGGAAAACCAAAAGTCTTCTTCGTTCAGGCTTGCCAAGGTGGTGCTTATCAGAAAGGTGTAACCATTGAAACAGATTCCGGGCAGCAAGATCGTTCTTTAGAAACGGATGCAAGATTTCAGCTGGACTGCATCCCCTCAGAGGCAGACTTCCTCTTGGGCATGGCTACCCTGCAAGATTACGTCTCCTACAGAAGCCCAAGCCAGGGGACCTGGTACATACAGTCACTGTGCCAACACTTGGAGAACAGCTGTCCTCGGTAACTATACTTCCTAAGATACTTTTTAGCAACACCTTTTATCTTCCTTTTGGAGGACACAAGTTTGATTTGAATGCAGAGGTGGATAATGTGCACTGGGAGTGATCACTCAAAGTGAAAAGAGCAATGTAGAATAGCAACACTGATTGTTTGAAGCAGTTCACCCAACTGCTTTAAAGATGGCTTAAAGGAGGAGCCATTAGCAGTGGCACAGGTCAAGATGATATATAAGAACACAGTAACTTTTCTGATGTCACATACAAATACTCTAATACAAAACTGCTTGTATTTTTTGCAGAGGAGAAGATATTCTCACCATACTGACAGCAGTGAATCAAGAGGTGAGCAGCAAGATTGACAAGCAGAATGAAGGAAAGCAAATGCCACAGCCCAGTTTCACACTGAGGAAAAAACTTATATTTCCTGTAAACTAAATGGGAGCAGAGGCAGAGAGCACTGCAGTAACCTGAAAACCACTCATCTCAGCTGTGAATTCAGTAAAACATCAGTCTGCTCCTAACAGAATATATATATATATATAATATATATATATATAATATATATATATTACCAATAAAAACATATATGTTTTTATTGGTAACAGATAAGGAATAAAAGCTTTATGAATGTAAGAGTTAATTTAGGTGATGCTTTTTATACTTCAAAGCTGGTCTCCAGTTTGCAACCTTACAATAGATTGAAGGCCCTTCCAGATGTACCTACCATACGTTGCTGTTGTTTTGTTAAGGTACTTTTCAAATACAAATTCATATAAAGCCTTGTGTACTTTATGTTTAACTTTTCATAAAATAAAAGACGTGGGACTGCAAATTTTATAGAATGCATCATCTCATCAGTATTTTCTTACACACCCCTCTGCTTTAAATCATTCAGACTTAGTCTCAGTCTTTCTCAAAAACAAGTCAAGAACTTGTCCTCCAGCATCCTGAGCTGTGACCTGCATTTCACAGTATCCTTTACCTACAGTACTCTTAACATTCCAATCAATTGCATAGATGCAGCATTACGCTTATGTTCACTCACCTTGCTGACTTTAAGTCTCTGTTGTAGGCATAGCAAAAAAAGATTTTACTAGATAAGTGAGCAGCTCTTTAAAGACATATTACCTCCTCTGATTACTATGTGCACAGTAACGATACTAATGTAGGTGACTATATAGCTGATTTTAGATAAGTCTTCAGTTGAACCATTTTTGGAATGTAAGTAATTCCCTAGATTCCTCTGCTGAATATTTCTTCACTCTTTGCTACCAGTGTGACCTTTTTTACTTTGGATTTTCACCCAAGATTCTCTCTCCACGCATACTGTTCAGTACTTTACCTTTTACATCACACCTGTACTCTTCAGCAACGTTCTGTTCTGTACATACACCCTGGGCTCCTGCTATTCTAACTGTCCTGCTTGTCACACTGCAGATCAGCCAGCTTGGGACCAGTTACAGCCAAATGACAAGTTGCACAGTTCCCTTTCCTTTGGGTAGAGGCTGGAATGTCTTTTAAGCTTGTATTGCTGACAAAATTTAAGTGAGCCCAGAGATTTGAAACCAGAAGAATCTGACAGCATGCTTGTATAGACAACTCTTAAGAATTAAAGGAAAAAAACTACAGCAACTACAGTTACCTATTCTGAGGGAAATAATTTCCCCAGGAGAACATGATATAAAAAATCTGGGGGAATTTTCCAGCAAGATAAATGCATCTCATAAGCAAGGTCTTACTAGGAATCTCCTCACATAATCAGTTTGGCAACTCTTTTTCAAATAGGAATTAAATGTGTGCCCTTTCAAACTCTTTTATAATTGGTTTCCTCTTATAAAGCAACTATCTCACTGATTCACAAGGAATCCCAGCAGCTCTGCAGACTAATTACACTCATGCATATGAAGAAAAAAGGAAATTCCCTCTACCTCTAATGCTCTTGGTCTTGTAACAGATATGTAAAGCAACAACAACCACCAGTAAGGTTTTGAAGGGTCTGTGTGTGCTGCTGAGGCACATGTATTGCAGTTACCTGTACAAGCACCCCTGCCAGTGGGACAGTGCACCAATAAGTTACAAGTGGACAGCCATAGAGGCCACAGCACACACAGTGAGGTAAACATCTGCACATTTTAGACTAACTCTCATTGGTGTCATTTGTTTGCTCTCACTAATTCTGCAGTGCTTACCTTAGGGTAACATTTTCATCACAGAGATAAACTGCAGTGAGCTGGTGTTTTTCTTCAACTGATGTAATTTTCTTCTTGATGCTTCTCTCCGCAGCAGATATTTTGCTTTCTTTGCAAAGAAAAGAAGAAAAAATTCTGTTTTCTTTTTTTGTTTTTTTTTTTTCTTTGTAAATCTTTGTAAATCTTTTTCATTGTAAATTTTTTTTTCTTTGTATATCAACATCACAACTAAATACAAACAACAGTAAATTGTTAAGATGACTCGTGACAAACAAACAAGTACTACCAATTGCCAAGAACAGCTTTCTTCACTCCCTCCTTGCTTCCCTTGTTTTTTTTTGTTTGGTTGTTTTAATTGAGAAGATTGTTAGAACCATCACCCAGGACTAGTTTGTAATAGCCTAAATTTCACAGAGAGGCCATTCTTTTATCCTCATGTGTATTCGCAGTAGTATTACTCTAGTAGTGCAGCTCTACATAGATCACCATTTCTTACACAGATGTACAGTTTTGTAGCTGCATAGATATGGTGAATATTAGGCAACAATCTAAGTTGCATACATGTTGGTGAAGCAAATTTGGGGAACTTCTTTTACAATGCAGATGCAGGCATTCTATCTTTTGGCTTGACCCTGCCTAACCACCTGTAGGTACAACAGTTGCAGAGATTTGTAGGAGAAGAATCTCTCCTCAGACGTCCAACTCAATCTTCTGCATATGAAATGCTGAGCTGAAAAGTCAGCTTCAGTCAGATGAGGGTTCCAGTCCTTTGCCACCCTCTCATGTCAGAAAAGATAGCAAGCTAAATAAATACAAGATACTTACCGTAGGATAATGGTGGTTCCTAATTTCTTGCAGTGTTCTGCTATCAGTTATTAAATTAGACAAATTTTAGTAAAAACCTATTAATTGCAATAAATGCTGTTCCCAGTCTGTACCATGGAAATAATCAAGGAAAACAACCTGAGCCTTTCTGCCACAAAAGCAGGTGCAAGGACATGTGTTGGAGGTACGCACAGCTGCAGGCAAAAATTGGGCACCTCTGTGCATATGGAATTTCATGAGACATGCACAGAGGAGTACTCTTCAAGGATAAGTAGCTTGGTTTCAGTCTCTGCTCCCACTTTATCACAAACACAGAGGAAGGCTAATAAAAATACAGTTACTCAGATAGGAAATCACACACTTCCCTGTAAAAAGCTCAAGCAATCTTCCCTTGGAGGTCTGAAGAAAAAACAAGGGAAGAATATATATGTCCAAATAGGAGCCCATAAAATAAATGCAAATAAAGCCACTGACCTAGATAGATACTTAATTGTAGCAGAGTAGTCTAGTCTCTTTTCTGCTTCTTGCTTACTTGTCACAATATTGCTAGAAGAATGCTGCATTAGCTGCTGTAGTACCAGAAAGCATAAGCACATTGATTTCAACTGAGGCTCACATTCAAATATTCTGCTTAGAAGCTAAAGAGCATTTTGTGATTTTATGTGAAGTTTTATCACTCCTAAGTAAAATGTTTTTCAAAAAGCAGCATACTAAGGGGTGTTTTCTAGATTTAACCAACACATCTAAACTGCAGTCAAAGTCTGACCACAACTTGTATTGCACATCCATATTTCCTTTAATTGCTTAAGTATGAACACAACTGCAAATAGACTAGCACAGCCTGATCAAGTTTTGGAATCAATTTCTAAGATAGCTTACGCAGATACCAATTCACTAAGTCTGTACACCAATCACTAAATTCTAGCCAACTGTCAAAAAGCTCTAATTTCAATTTCACTAAATAACATTGCAGAACAGATGATGACATCTGGAAGAAACCACACAAGATGACCAACATACTGAAAAAGGACATGGTATGCATGTTTATTATGAAATTTACATTCCACCATGAAACAACAGTAGGTGCAAAAAGCAGATGGAAAAAAAAAAAAGTTCCCAGACCGTTCAAACACTGTGTGTAATCCCTTTGTGTAGCAGCCAAAAGAGGCTCAAACCTATTATCCTCATTCCCTCTGTAATGCTCTTTGACAGCAGTAGACTTTTGACTTCATCAGCCCACAGGTATTTTGAGTGTGCAGGTATCTCCAAGTTTATCAAACACGTGAAGCTTGAACCGTATGCCTGTACAACTACAAAGTTATAAACTTGTACTTGATTTAAGCCAACCTGAATAAATGTAGACACCACAAAATTTTCCTTTCCAGTGTCTTGAAATTTCACAAACATGGCACTTCTTTTCTTTGCAGCATCTATTTTTTGCCTCAAATTTGCAAGGTAGCAGAATGTTTTACAAGTGCAATTCTCCATCAATTCACTCAACCAAATCACATCTGTGCAGGACAAAAAGGTCTTGAGAAAGATCTCAGCTACCTAAGTCATCCAAGTTCATTTCCTCTCTTGCAGGAGACAATGGAATCCAAATGAGTTCTTAGAATAATGGCAACTTTAGTATGTTATCAGAAATACATGTGTTTGTCTGCTTGATTTTGGCACCAAGAAGTAAACTTGGAAGATGTAGCAACTTTCCCTGTTGCTGCAAGCTAGGCACACGTATACAAAATGCACAACAGAATTTCAAAAGTACTGTACCACGGCATCAAAAAACTGGATACAAACACAACAGTATTCAAACTCTTTGATCATCTTCCTGCTTGTGTAAGTATCCGATGATCCTACAGAAAGCAACCAACAGACCTTGCAGCATCTATCATATCATTTGAACGGAATCAGTCCCTATTGCTAGGCTACAGAAAATGGAATTGTCCTGAAAAGAAACATGCATTTAATTAATGTGCTATTACATAGCTTTTAATGAAAATGTGGAGGAATTTTGATTTATTTTCCTTTTTCTGCTGATAACACACGCAATGATCTGGAGTTATGTAATGAAGCTAGTTAGAAACACAGTGAAATACCTTTAAAAATTATCTGTCTCTTAGATGCATTCCTACAATAAGCGTACATAAAACAGACAGACTTCTGACATGTCATATACTTCCCTGTTTATATCAAACTAATCGTCTGTCAACTCGTTCCTTAGTTAACTGGAGAGCAAGAATATCTCCCCCCAGCTCTTTCATTCTTACCTTATTTAGCTAGGTAAGGCCCAGTGAACACTTAAGGAAGTACAAACATAAATATTTACAAGAAGGAATTAAATATTTTTCATTTAAAAAACAAATTAACCCGTATATAGCATTTCAAATAAAATTCACCTTTCACAAGATTCTTAGAGAGCAAAGGGCAACTCCAGGAGTTCCTGAATACTTCTGTGCGCTGCTGACAGACAAATTTCTGCTGAGAGTCCCTGTGCAAGTTTGAAGTGGTTAGTCCTTTTCCTTTTACAAAAAAAGACTGCTATATCAGAGTCATCATGAGATCCATAGGGCTGTAAAAGCAGAAAGGCCACATAATAAATCAGTTTAAGAAGCTTTCTTTTCCTGCCCTACTCCAATCAATCCTGCAGCAACAAAGGTGTGGATGTGCCACATGCCAAATGCAAATCAGTGTAATTATGCCAGTGCTTCACACCATACATCCAGAAAGATGCCACCTATGTCCCACATACACTCTAACAGCCAAGGTAAACAAACACTGGCTGTTCTAACTAACTATATGGAAACAAACCTTAAAATCATTCAAATAGGTCAGGTGCACTGAAAAAAAAAAAAAAATCACAAACAGATTTAAGAACCTGTTTCCATTCTGATCACTGCCAAAGATCTATTCCCCCAAGGAATGTGGGACAAATATTTATTCTTAAGATACATTTTAAATCTATTGTAGATTATTCAGTTATGACTAGAAGCTTGGTCAGGAAGGAATTCAAAAAGCAGGACAGGCAATAATACTTTGCTGAATGTCACTCTGAAACCAGATTTCTCCAGTGGTGTTTTCTTTTGAGACAAAAAGTTTGCCTCAATGTTAATTCAGAATGAAGCTGAGAGCCACTTTTCATCATTCAAACATGATTTCAACACAGGCCAAATTGATCTGCATTCATAAAATGCTACAAAAGAACACTGGCTTTCATCTTCCATTTCCTGAATACAGAATGATAAATTTTGATCTTAATGAAATCTTTCAAACAAAATCCTGTCTAAAATCAGGAATATCTGAACAAAAGGCATGATGTTGCTGCCAAAGTCTCCAATATACAGAATGCTTAGCTGTCAAGATTCAGATTACTTATTTTTCAAGCATTTAGGTAAATGCTCTCTGCTTATGCCAAACGAAAATAAACTCTGAATCAAGCACCTAGTTTTTATTTCCTTTTGCAATATTGAAACATGCCTGAGATTTTAATTTGTATGTGAAAAAAAAAGATCTCTTAGCTTGAAATTTTTACCCTAATACATACTTTTATTCTTCTTAGTTCTCACTCATTGCACTTTCCACTGTATGCTTCAGAAGCTCTAGAAAGAAATTAACTTCCGTGAGTAACTCACTAGCACAATTGCACTCTTTCAAAAAAACAAATCCTGATCATTTATTTTTGTGCTCAAATGTCAAATTAAAGGTTCTCACTTCTGCTTCTCAACATGGGGAGTTCAAAAGAGCAGTTTCTGAGCTAGAAAATACTAGAATTAAAGTAGTTCCAAGTTTTTGTATTTGCTACAGAGAAGAACTTGGACAAATGGTGCTGGTCAGACTGATTATTATCTTAATATCGTATTTAAATGATAAGCCTGACTGCTAACAAATTATAAATACTATAGCCATATGGTAGAAAAAATAGAACAGCACCTGCAAGACAGTTCTACAAGTACAGTTTAAAAGGTTAAAATACTGAAAACGTCTACAGTGGGACTTTTACTTAAGCTAAGACAGATGCTGGAGAGATCTCAAAACTAAGCTTTGGTTTCTTGTTTCTTTTCTTATCTTCCACAAAAGCTTTCTTTCCCAGACCCAAGCAATGTTCTTCTCTCCTTGACCCTATCACTTCTCTCTCCACCCCTTTTAACATGCACATGCCTTCTCCAACTCTTCTGTAACACACCTAACCTTTTCTGTACTGGATGCTTATCCCTCTTGAATTATTTACTAAGCTAGTGTCCAGAGCAATCAGTCCTCTTTTAGGATATCCATTTTTGTTGACTGT